ATGTCTTGGTGACATCTAAACCAGAAATTTTGAAGTATATGTTTCAAAAGTGTAACTATCCAAATAAAAATGAGATTTTGCAGAGTTTTTATTTTAGAACTAGAAGAAATTGCGAGTGGCAGAAGACCCATTTTTCTCCTCCTCACAGGCAAATGTTCACCTTTTTCTTCCAAGTCTCCTGACTGCTGAACAATCTAAATGTCTATTTTAGGACAACCTTAACACCTCCACAGCATTGCAGATGCTGCTGCACTCATATCTACAAAATCCCTGAATTACACATCCCCCTTCTCTGTTCAAATATGTCACTGAGAACTAATGAATGCATCTCTATCCTTGGAAAATATATCACAGGTTGCAGAATTTTTGCTCAGTGTGTTGTTAGGTGTTTGCTTTGTAGAAACTGAAGGTGATTAAAGGAGCTATTCATATTGTCCCTTGCTTTAAGAGAAGGGCTTAGATACTCCACACGTTATTCGAAATTCCTTTCCAAAGGCCATGTATATGGACCTCAAGTGAGTCGATCAGGTAACATATGCATTTTCTTACCTCTCTTTTTTTTTTTTAATCTGTTTTGCCCAAGCCTGGATGGAATATCCAGTGCTGATGTTCTACCCCTCCAAACCCTTCATCACTAATTCCAACAATTTTTATTGGTCACCTTTCCTACCTCTTCAGAAAGAAAGTCCAAGCTTAAAAGGGTCCAGAATGCTGTCTGCAACATTTTTTAATTATTCATTTATGCTGATAAATTATGCAAGCCAGATCTTCCATTATCTCTGGGGCTACCAGTTAAGGCTTCTCCAGCTTTTAGCTATTTTTATTCCCTTGGTACATAGATAACAGCACACTGACCAAACAGTACTCACTGCTCTACTCAGAAACAGATAGGAACCTCTTATTGTTTCTCAATTTTTTCTACTTTTCATTAGCTTCCAATTTTTTGAGCCTCTTATTTTATTCTAACCAGCAGCTTTCTATCTTAATTTGATCAAGCTTTCTTAAGAAGGCAACTGAATCTCCAGTAAAATACAACTAAATATCTAATGTATCTAAATATGTCTAAATACCACAAGAACACCTCTGTTGCTCCTTTCAGTGAAAGTATTCCACTGCCCAATATTTTGTATTTCTGAGCTCAGACTGCCATAAATCCTGACAAGTAACTTTGCACCTAATTTCTAAACTAAATTAGTACCAAGAAAATTGGCTTGATAATCACTTTCCTCCTTGGAGGCACTGACCTGTAGGCAAGCGAACAGCCCAGGATTGCCCTCTGCACAGAATTAGCCTCTGTTTATGTTTGATAAAACATAGCAAGGGATTTGGACAGGTTTTGAGGGATATGGGGAAAGTGATTTTTCTTCTCTTAGGCAGAAGAGAAGTTAGCCTAAGAGCTACAAAACCCAGATGATTTTTACCAGTGTGCTGTTATTGTAATAGAGCACATTAAGATGTGGTAAACAAGTCCCATCTTTTTCCATAAAAATTTGCCAGAATTGCCAGACAGGTTGAAAGGTTTCTAAGCAATCCGATTGTTTGACCAGATAACATTTGAGAAACACAAATTTATTTCTGCTATTCCTTGACTTTTTTCAAAGTCAATGAGTATGCTCAAGCCACAGGGGAAAGCTGAAAATTTAAACAATGTAGGCCTACTAAACTAGTCAGAAAATTTCAAAAAGCTAATTAAAGAGGAGAAAGGTATCTACTGTACCCTGGGTTCCACATTTTTTCAAAATGCTCATAATGTAATGGAGAAAGGAATAACCTGTATCTAACTGCAGGTATTCCACTCTAATATGCTTTAATCTCTTTAAGATCTTGTTTCGATAATTTCTCACACTGTCCTCTAAGCGAGGATTTAAGTTCAAGAAAAAAGAGCAACTAAAAGGTCTTTGTCCCTCAAAAAAGAAGAAACAGAGTTAGTGAAAGGATAATGGTTACAGGATGTTTGATCTCTATTCAAAGTTCATGAAAATCTTCTGGTAGGAGTCAAGAGGAAAGATGAGAGGTTCAGTCAAAAGATGTTTGCGACCGACCCAGGCATCTGGAAAAAGATGACTGGAGTCTCTCTACTTGGAAAGAGAGACAACAGCAGTGTCTGCAAAAAAGACACTATCATAGCATAAACTGTGTTTGTTTCTATGCCAATATATGATATATGGTTCAGATATTAAAGTCACACAGCAGGGGGGAAGCGCTTTACTCTGCAATAGGTTATAAAACTAACAGACATCTCAGATACAGAGTATTACACTAGATTATCCCAAATTACTTTTCTATATTTGCTTGTAGCAAAACCATATTTTTTTAATCCACTTTTACAATATTTGCAATTGGTAACAGCTACACTGAATGTGTTAGAGTGATGTAGAAGTATCATAGAGCAGCTTGAGTTAAGAGTGATGCCAGATGAATGATTAAAATAGGGCATTCTGGAATCTGAAGAGTTACAGTTCATCCAACTATCTATCTGAAGCACTCATGTGAAGCTGAGCTTTCCAGGAAATTTCTCAAGGGACAATATAAGAAAAACCTCCCACTCATGCTATGTGTCTAGTTCTGAGAAAGGGCATTGCAAAAGTGAGACAAACAAGTATTTTCAAAGGATCAGTGGTGGCTAGTAAAGCCCTAAGTCATGTAGCATGAAAAGAGACTAGCAGGAAACACCAAAATCCCTAGAGAACAAGCCACAATAAAGAAGCATTGCTTTTGATTACAGAAAGAGCAGAAGCACAGGCAGATCTGCAACTGAGATATTGAGAAAATTTTCACAAGAGAAAGAGAGATGATCTGTGTGCTGAGAAATTTTTCCAAGGAACAATGCAAAGAGTCTGCTGTGGCCTGGATCCCCAAACCAGTCTTATCACCACAAGCCAACTGACAGCCAGAGGAAAGAAATCAACTCTAAGCATCCAACACAAATACAAAGATTCATGAAAATGGAATCAGGCATCTCCTGGCTGAGGAAAACAAACTATGAGAAAATGAAAAATTGTTTGTCTTACTTCTACATGTGCATTTTGAAAATTATATTCAGAAACCATTATGTTATAGACTTTTATCCAGCATCTGTATAATTTTTTTTCTCATTATGATTTGGACAAAGGACCAGAACAAAGATTTCTTAAATTTGCAGATGAAAACAATGAGTGTGCTTGGAGGAGATACTTGTGGAATGAGATAAAAGAAAAAAGTTTAATAATGGACAAAAGTAAAATCCTACATGTAAAATTTCATGGATAAGAGAGAGATGAAAAAAACATATTGTGGGAAAGGAGATTGGGAGTTGCAGTGAATTACAAACTGAACTTGAGTCAACCATCTCCTGCTGTTTTGGAAAGCAAGAAAATACTAAATTGGTATGTATTGTTTGAGAGTTATGCGAAACACTTTTTCCAGTCTACTCAGCAATGTCAAGCTTCACACTGAGCCCACTGTCAAGCCTGGGCACAACAGTTCCAGAAGGACACACATCACTGGGAAGTAGCCCCTCAGGAATATTATCAAAGGACAGAAGAAAAACAATATCTGTATGAAGCTGTAGTTGGGTTTTTTGTTTTGTTTGGGGTTTTTTTTTGTTTTGTCTTTTGCTTAGTTTTTGTTATATAGTAGATAAACTATTCAAAATGTATCTAAAGTCTATATAAAACAATTTCACAACACTTGTTTCTACAGTCATAATTCTTTTTGTCTGTATACAATTTTACAGGTCGGCAGGTTACAGAAGTTCTGTATTCCTAATGTGTTTGTTAAAACTTTGCTTCATTTGTTTACATAGCTAAAACCCTTAGGACAGTATTTTATGAACTCCCATTGACTCTTGTGACTTCACAAATAAACTCTAAAAAGAAGAAAAACCATGAGGAATGCTATTCATTCACTGACTTCCACTTACAAATAAAATGTATTAGTGGACTCATGAGGGTGAGCTGTACATACAGAATGTTCTCATTTCATAAGCAGGCACAAATCAGCTCTGCTTGTGCTCTGAACCAGCCCAAAGCTGTGTGCAAACACCACCCACAAGCTCCACAGAGCTCCAGTTTCAGCTCAATGCTGCGCTAATACAGCCACAAGCAATTCCAGATCAGAACTAGCACCAAGCCCAGCAAGACTTCTCATGTTTGCCTGCAGAAGTCTTTTCACAATATCTGCTAAAAACTTACTGCACATTGCGGATTAGTCCTTTCTTCTTGTCAAAAGCTGGCAATGTCTATCCTAAATTTTTTAGAAAAATGGTGGAACCATTAATAAATCAAGATCAGCTCTCTATTTGGTTAGGACTGATTACAGCACATCACTCTGGTTAGCGCTAGTGTACAGTGTTGTATTTTAAGACAGCTTACAGCTACAGTCCTAAAATAAACACAAATAAAATACCATTGCACTGAGTGTGAAGGAAGACTGTGTTCACATAAACAGGCTTCAGAATGCAACCCTGCAGACAGCTCACTCTGAAGAGATAACATTTGTGCTATTTTTGGAGACTGCCACCTTCAAAAGCATGCTTCATCTGCTGCAGCAAAGCAGGCCATGCAAATGAACATACACTTATGGTCTCAGGCACTAATTATTTGAATTTTGCCTTGAATTTCAAATGAGCGGCCCCATTTACTGGAATGTTAGTAATTTTATCGGAATTTTATTTGGGAGTTTTAGGTACAGAAGCCCATTAAAATCAGTGGGAATATTTCTGGGCATTTGTGAGATGTCCAGTCACGTTACTGATAATGTTTTATTGCTTGCTTTTGGAGTATGAACATGTTCATGAATATGGTTATGACTGCTGAATTAAGTGATGAGCAAATAACATTGCAAAAAATCTGATCATTGAGTGGTTTCTATTATCTCCCTTAAAAGGATTTATTCACTTTTTAACACAGGCTGTCAGACAGGCTTCAGCAGTTAGAAAAAGCCCTTTTGTTGATTTTACTAACAGCAGAGTTGAATGAGACACCTTCACTGAGAAGCCAGTGCTGTAAAATCCATCATACCTTCAGCTGTACCAGATGCACATCCACGTGCTTGCTGTCCGAGTCCTGCTGCACAGAGTAGGTCAGGTCCCGGACCCTTTCAGACGTCATCCGAAGCCAGGTCTCAATTTCTGGCAAGTGGAGAACAATCTTCCAGTCAGCCCCGGTGTGCAGAGGAGGGGGCTTTTCATACTGCTGGCCAGAGTCAAGGTCCTTCATGACATCCCCTTCCCCTTCTTGTTCCACTGTAGGAGTCATGTTTATGAGCATGGGAGAGGCATCGGATGGCATCGGATCCAGTTCTTGTGTCCTCATGGGAGAAACTGCTACATCCATGGCTAACGTGTCAAAGCCTAAACCATACTTTTTTCAAAAATAGCTGCAAAGATAGAAAGAAAACACACCGCTGTTTTGAGACCAAATTCAGCAACAAAATGCTCAAAGACAAGGAGTAAATGATAATGTCTGAGATGTATTGCACGTCTAAATAAATTCTTCACCCTAAAAATCTATACTGAAGTTCAAGACCAAATAGATTTTTTCAAAATAACTTTGTTGTTTTGAACATGATCCTTGTATGCGAAAAGTAACGAATACTGCATTTCTCGCATTGTAATTTCTCATATAATTTCCAATTACTTTGGAAAGTGCAGTTTTCATTAATGAAAAGTATGTTCTGATTTTTTACAACTGCAACATAAATAAATGAACATTGACAAAGTCTGCAGAACTTTACTGAACTCCACAAGTTAATACAAGACTGGTATTCGTAAACTAGTACATATTGGAACATATTCCTTGGCCTGAAATTTAAGACTAAACACAGAATATTTCAAGATTTAAATAAAATTACTCTACTGTCCACTCGACTGTTGACCATGTTAAACAAAAAATTTGCACGCAAACTTGAAGTGATTATTGAGGACACTTGGGTGATTTATTGATTTTCCTTTTGAATTTTAAATTCTAATAGTTTTGTTAGATTAAGAACTGTTGCAATAAGCAACAACTATAACAAAACACAGATATAATAATCCCAAGGTCAAAACATGTACCTAAAATTAAAACATCATTTTACAAAGTGGCTTTATGAAAGCCCAAATGCTGTACCACCAATACACACTTATGAGATCTACTGGACAAAGTAAGTAAAACATTTTACTTTGTACCTCTTCCTCTGTATGTGCTAGTTGCTTGTGTACTACCCACGAAGAAGGCTGCCATAAACCCTATGCATGAAAAAAAAAAACAAAAACCAAAAACCACAAACAAATGAAAAAATAACACCAAACAACTTGACTTACTTAACATAAAATCTAGAAGACTGTAGAAAAAACAGACTTTTCCATATTAAATTAACACTGTGACTACTGAGTTATATTCCTCAAGATTTCATGTGGAGTCTCAGCATTCAGAGACTACTCCTGTAGGCAGTGAGAGTACCAAAGAAGTATCCAGTCTCAATTTCACTTGTCATAGCCAGGAAGGACAAAAAGATTATATTTTGTGTTAATTTGATTTTATTTTCTACCCTGCCACTACTTAGTAAATCAGTGTTTGCACAGCTATCACACTCACAAATCAGTATGTTAAAGTTATATTAAATATTAACACAAAATATAAATTTGGCACTTCAGAACAAAATTTTCTATCAGTACAATCAAGCAAAGCAAATGAAAGAAGAATCCAAATATTCTCAGTGCCTGCTGTACAATTTCCAACTCTTAGCTCAAATTTTGAAAAAAATATGAATTGTGTTAAACAAAAAGCTCTACAGCAAAGCTAGGTGAAAATAACATTTCAGGGTGCTGAGTATTTTCTAGTTCATCTGCTTACATTACCTATTTTTCAGCTCAAACTCTGTTGCCATAAGTACTCAACATAAATTGCTAGAAAAAAAATCAGTGTAATAACATTTTTGTTTAAGACATTGCTGATCATAGCCGCAGTTCTAAAGCATAGAATTCACCTAACAGCTGAAACTATCTCAACATTTTAAACATATTCTTCACATTCTTTCCTCCTGAAAGTGAAATTTTGCTGAGACACAGGTGGTCCTTATTTCTGCATGTTTACTGTTAAGCATGCCTACCAGAGAAACAGCTGTGAATCACTAAATGATACCAAAGAACAGGAAGAGCAGTGCTTGCTTCCTAGTTTTTTCACACCAAAAAAAAAAAAAAAAAAAAAAAAAACCCTGGCACTCTTGCAGAGTTTTTCATTATGACTCAGCTCTAGAGAGGACATTAAAGCAATTAGCAAACAGAAATGAAAACATGCTCCTGCAGAAGCAAACAAAAGCCGGTCCATGCTGCATGCAGAGCCACTTGCAGCCTTCATGCACTGAGTGGGCAATTAGCAGCCATCAGGAACCTGCTGACCTGCGGTTTGGTACGATGTGCTTGGCTCTGTGAGAGTGGCTCTCCAGCACTACCGCTCATGCCTCCTTAATCCTAGCAGCTCTTACAGCCAAGTCCTTTGCATTCTTTCCTTTCTGCCAGATCACAAGTTGCAACACTTCAAAATTAAGAATATGTGAAGAAATTTTGAAATAAGTAATTCTTTACATCTTCTTAAAAAAAAAAAATCTACGAAAGTAATAAAATACACTGTGGATATTAATTAGCAAGGTCTGTGAAAGCTTTAAAAAGCTCACAAAGATTGGATTCAATGACTGAATCCCAACACTAGGACACAGATTTCTTTAAATTGATTCTTGGCAGAATGAAAAGGCATCATCGGACAGCTGAAGGGCTCTCCAAGAGCAGTGACCGCAGGAACGCGGCCCCGCCGAGCCCCGAAGGCAGCGGAGAAAGCGAAAGCCGCGCGGCCCCGCCGCCCGCAGCCGCCCCGCCCCGGATACGGACGGAAAACGGGAAAATACCCCCGCAGAGATGCTTTTGCAAAATTCTAACCCTGGAGTACAAATAGCAAACAGCCTGCAGCAACAGCCAATCTCATGGACATAATTGTTTCATGCAATTCAGGAGTTATAAAACTTGGCGAAACGCTCTTGATCAGAAGTGGGTTCTGCTAGAAAAAAGGGTTAAGAAGGGATGATCGAGTTAAACAATACTCTGGAGTCATATATTGATACTTTAAGTGACTGAGTTAAATGCTAGTCTTAAATTTGGTTATATTTCTGGAGTATATTTTTTTTCCAGATTTTGTGACAGGTACAAATAGTGAATTGTAAACCACTACAGTAAGTGTTAGAACACATCAAAACTGAATAATATTAGAGGAATATAACTGAATATTTTAGAGGTGATCTTTATACCTTGCAAAAATTTTTTTTGAAACGAGGTAAAGAAGGCATTCTTTTCTTTCTAAGCAGGACCTTATCACTGCCAATTTTTTTTTTTTTTTTTTAATAAAACTCAAAAGCTATGCTCAGTCTCATTTTCTGCATCACAAAATCCTGGTAGTATCAATGGCAGTTTTAGGTGGGCAAGCCATACTAAATCACATTCCAGCTTTTTTTCTAAGCCAAACCTTTTCTGTACCCAGAAGAGTTATACAAACCAGCTGATTTTAAATTTGCAGGTGAACAGATGAAAATGCAATGTCAAATGTCCTGATCAATAAAAAGGTTCAGTCTTTCAACACATGCAGGGCATAACCTTATTTTCATCATGACAATCAGATTGAGAGTTATGATATCATTATTTCTAAAAATATTTCTCCAATTATTTATTTGTGCCACTTCAAAAGCTACTCTTTCAATCTGCTGAAGGGCACATTGAAGAACTAAGTAACACACCCACCACAGCTTGCATTCCTTCTGGCAGGAGAAAAAAAAAATAGAAGAATTGAGCATATTTTTTTGCCTTGTGTTAATTCTTTATATACAGTTTTACATCGTCATGGATCCTCGTATAAAAGGTGAGAGATCCTGTGTAAGCACATGCACACATATGCTTTCTATCTTCATCTTCAGTAAGTGCATTACGCCCAGCAGATGGCTGATTACCTTCCACTAATCACACAGACAATCTCACTTTCCCCTGCTTTTCTGCTCAGGCAGATGCTAACGCTTACACAAAACATAGGATGTCTGTGTCAACCATAATAGAGTTTATCAATCACCACGTCTTGGAAGGCTTCTCGCACTCATTCTGCTCCCCCATTGTTTCCATTTCCCTTGTTTATAAAGTGCAGGCCACATTCGCTCTGCCAGCATCAGATATCCACCTTTTCCTCCAACAGCAGTTAGCTGCTGTCAAACAAAGCATCATTAAGCATTTTAAGCCATAGAGTAGTCCAGTCATTGATCAGTGGTGCAGACACTGGGTCGAATGAATGTTAATGAGCTCTAATTTCCCTTACTGTCACATATTGTTAAAATCAGCCACAATCACTATACAGCCACCTGTCTGTCACATAAATAATTTATTTCGATCTCAAAAATGCCACAAAAAAACCCAGAGAAACTCCATCACTAAATAATTTTGTCTGCTTGCTGACTTTGAAATCTAATGATGTAAATTTTAACATCAGATTTAATGAGCTCGTTGATGCTGAATTTTCTTGAATAGATACAGTGAAAACAAATGTCTCACTCAGACAAGTTATATTATAATGTCTTTTTCATTTCAATAGTCTCAGGAATTCTCTGCCAAGTTACGAGGCTCATTATACTTTTTCTTGAAAATGTAATTAACTGTATCAACTACAAAGATAAATTATCTCTGTGCAAAAAAACTGAAGTGTATCATTTCAGTTACATATAGAGCAAATTGAATTTAATATCACAGTAAGCCTATCCATGCTACATTGATCTAGTTGCTTATTTCCTGTATGATTTAAGAAATAAAACTATTTCAAAAAGCTTTGAAATAACTGAATTCTAATGGACCCAGTTTATGTTTTTCTCTTCATATCATTCCTCATGAATGTGTTTCAGAAATACCTCCTTTGCAATTATCCTATGATAATATCTAAAATTTTTAACAAATTGGACAATTTCTCATTTAGGACTGCTTGGCCTCCTATTTCATATGTGAGACTCTTAGCAAGTATATCTGATAGGGAACAGGATGCCTTGATTCCTTCAGTATGTAGACCAAAGAGGCTTGCACAGTAGTTTCAATATTAAACATGAACACTAACATGAATCACGATTACAGTTTTTAATGTGACTGATTTAAAGTCCATTAAAAAGTCTGCCCCCAAGGCTTTAATGGCAGCAAAGCCAGACCATCAATTTTTAACTGAGGAAATCCAACCATGGACGTTCATGTTCCTGATTATGTGAATAAATCAGAATTTGAGACACAGCAATGACCCGACATAATCTTTGTTATTTACGGTTTCTTTTTCTAATATGCGGTGAAGGAAAATGTGGAAATTAAAGGCAAGTGTTCCACCAGAAATTGGAAATTATTGTGGCAAATCAGGGAAAGTGGAAATTCTGCTGGAGGATTTACTAAAGGATTTATGTGAAAGTGATGGCCTAGCAGGAGAGACTGTGAAAGAAACCAACAGTCCATAAGGTCTAGGCATTATACACACAGGCAGTCTCCAAGAAGCCACGGGTAAAACAGGCAAATTGCTGGTTGTGGTGTGCATGACCTTCCATTTGGAACTTCTTTGGTTCTGAGGATATCAGATGGCAAAGAAAGGTTCTGCAGATCCTTTCACATGATGTTTATGTCATGAAAGCTTGTAGAAACTCTAGCAGAAAGAGGCAGCACCATTTTTTTGGAGGAAGACACCCCCCCCCCCCCCCCCCCCGCCATTGCTTTTGGAAACCATACTACTGGTATTTTCCAACAAAATGCTTTTGACAAGATCCAATGCCAAAGGCTAAATGAGTCTAAATAGCCATGGTATAAGAAGGCAGGTCCTTGAATGGACAATAAATGAAAACAGTAAACAGTGAAATGAAGAGCAAATGCAGATCACAAGCAGAGTTTCACAGATACCTCTGCTAAGCACTATGCTTCTCAAGAAATGGATTAATGAACTGAAAAATGGGTGAAAAATCGAGTGGAAAAGGTTTGTAGAAGGTATTGAAATACTTGGGATATATATAAACTCTGAGTAAATGAAAGATGTCACAAAGCAAAAAAAATGTGCAATAACATATTTGATTAAACATTTAAGATTAAACTTACTATAGACAAATATTGTAATGTATATGAAAAAAACAATCAAACCACAAAAAAAAAGGTCAAGTCTTGCCTGAAACAGTGCATTTAATTTATCTGCTTCTAGCTCATATAATTTTAAAAAAAGCAGGGAGGCTAGATGGAAATTATCCCATTAGACAGCTGCCATGAGGTACATCAGAAAAAAATTCTACACTACAACATAAACAGACATTGAAAACAATTGTGTAGTGCCAGACTCATACAGACAGAGAAATATATTCAGAGAGTCAAGCATGTTGTGATGAGCAGTTGTGTTTCCTGATCCTTTCTAACTCAGGTTTGCCCTGCAGTGAGTAAGTGTCTGCTACAAAGAGATTAGCATTAAAATGGACAAAGACAAATTAGCCACTTCATATTAACTCCTCATAACTTCAACATCCTTTATTAGCTAACTGTTCTACACTATCTTGGGCTTTTGTTGTCCTAATTTTCATTCCAGAAAGTCAGCAGTACATACTGGCAACTTTTATACGCTGATTTTTCAGCAAACAGGTGAGCGGGTTTTTGTTGGGTTTTTTTGATTTGTGCATTTGGGCAGGTTGTTTTTGCTTTCCTGGGTAAAGCCATTTTTGTCATTCTAGTGGCTAAGAGTGAGCAAAACATTTGTAAACAAAAAATATTTTTTCCCTTCAGCTACAAAAGTCATATGGTGAAGGATGCATAGTAACTATTCTAGCAAGAAGATGGGTCTTGTTCCAAAATTTTTCTCCAAAGAGGTAGTGTGAAACATCTTTTAAATTGGAAGATAGCAAAATCAAGATTAGACTGGGCTGAATATTAATCTGTATTTAAAATGTTCTTTCAGTACAGACAGAGGCAGCGAGATATAAGTGAGGACATCCTGAGCTGTTTCTCCTATCACAGCAGAATGAAAGAAACTGGTGCAACTCTCAGCTCAAAGTTAGGGCAAATAAAAATAATGTTTCACTTCAATTTCACACTCTAGTTTCATAGCAAATAAATGCTAATCACTTAGGAGAAATCTTGACATTTTTTCTGGGAAAATTTTCCAGGGGCTAAATGAGCTTATTCCATTTAATTATGGAAGCTGATTATAAGAAATTAATTACATGTATCAAGGAGCAATATGACCTCATAATAGATCAGATAAGAAGAACTTTCTCACATGTATTGTGCAAAGTATGTCAGTCACAGCCAACGTCTCACTGCCTTGCAAGTCTTACATCTTTCTCTAGCAGAAAGACCATCATTTCAGCTTCTTCCTTAAATATGTTACAGATACTGCAATACTGGATGTTCTGTCAATCAGTACAAAGGTTATTTAGAAAAAAATCCAAACCAACAACAATCTCTACAGAATTCTTCAAGGCACATTATTATGTCAGACCCAGCAGTGCAACTTGAGGCATTTAAATTGCCCCAGCCCCATTTATCCTAATGATGAAATAAAATAGCCACAAGACATGCCATCATTTCTGAAACTAGTTTTGTTACACTACATTTTAACTATTTTATGATAATAAAAGTAGAGTTTTGAAGAAACTGCTACCTTTGGAATGGTGCACAATGCAGCTGCTGAGACCAGAGAGCTCTTATAACAACCAGTATTCTGTGTGATATGAGACACAGCACTCTATGACTGTAAATTCTCACTATTATGTAAA